TATTCAGTATTTTCATGTCTAATAAAGTAACAAATATGTTCTATTAAGTGTATTGATTAGTCATGTCAGGTTACTTCTTTAATGTGTAGGTGTAATCAAGCAACAAAGAGGTTCTTACTAACTATACTGACCAGCCATCGTAATCACTGTTTTATTGTGTATTATGAAGTAAGAAAGATGTTGCATTATCTTTACTGACTAGCCACATTAATTAATGTTTTACTCTGTGTAATCAAGTAACTAAAGTATAGTACTAACTGTAAATACTAGTAATGTTAATCACTAACTTATTGCATATAACCAAGTAATAAACATGCTCTACTAACTGTACTGACTAGGCACGTTAATAACTGTTTCACTGTGTGAGTGTATTAAGTAACAAACGTTATCTAACATACAGTGCCTTGCAAAAGTATTCACCCCTACCAATAATGTCACTTTTGATGAAATATAAAAAATGTAAAAATTTTTTTTAAATGAACTTGTTTTATTCAAATCTCTAAGGATCAAACTTATTGATCATTCCTTGATGAGATTTCAAACCATTATGACATAATTATCCAAGACCAAGTAGCCAGTCTTCCCGTGGGAAAACAACCCACTTGAATTTTGCTGATGACATCACCTGTTATTATTGAGGGGATCCCGAAAGATTTCTCCCTAAAGAGGATTAACATTTTCCTAAGGAAACACAAGCCCAACACAGCCATCGACCCATCCGAAACACGATTGTTACGAAGGGGAGGAATTTTTGTTCAGCCTCTTACTCCTGAAGACACAGCTTATCTCTGTTCCCTGTTGAACTCTAACCCACCAGTTATTTGTTAACCCCCCTGAGCTAATACACACCTTTTCTCTGTTTTCCTTAAGGGCGTCGACCAGTCCATCTAAACCGAAGACATACACACAAGTCTAAAGGCCATACCAGACTACACGATTCATCCAGTACACAGCCTTAAATCCAGAATCACGTACCTGCCAACCCAATATGTCAATATCATTACTGCTTCTAAATTCACTGCAAAACACCTGTTAACTAATGGTTTTGTCTACTTCTTTTTTCATTTCAGAGCTGAAAGACCTAGATGATGCCCCCAACCTTCTACTGTTTTCCTCCCAAATATCCAGTTCACCCATCACGTACCAACAAACCACTGAAGATGTTCATAAAAACTAACACTGCTGCCATTCAACCGACTCCTTCCATGAAGCACACACAAACCGAAGCCAACACAAATGACATATCCATGTAGATTAGACAAGTCGAGAAACAACATGAACCTGCACACAAATCCACACAAACCCCACCAGAAACAAAGGAAACAATGAAACTCAGGCCAGGCAGACAGAACCAGCACTAAGCCAGACTTCTATGTCAACTGAACCAGTTCCAGCAAAGACCCGTGAAACTTAGACTAGTTTCCAAAAAAGCAAGAAAAACCAAAACAGATGAACAATCTACTGAAGCCTCCCTTGCCCACCAACCAGAATGCTCTTTTTTGACCCATCATTTCTATAATGATGCCAAATTTGACAACAATCATCAGACTCCACAGTCACCACACTACTATTACGATGTAGAAGAACCAGTCTTCAACCAGACGTTTCCAGTATTTCTGCAGACCTTAATCAGCCTAGACTTTTCAAAGTGATCTAACATACCAATGTACATTGACCTTGCTGTTTTTTTTTTCCTTTCAGCTTCCACCAGGCACGGTCATGGTATTTCAATCGGCACCCTGGCCATAAAATTTGGGGGGGGAGGGGTACTCCTGCCCCCCCCCCCAGCAAAGTTCTTCATAGAATTCTATTTATTTTGTATCCTTTGATCCCAACCCTAATTCAAGTCAAAATTAATACTCATTATGCAAGCATTAATCCAGGAACTCGCTACTTGTGTACCAGCCTTGGTCATACTGGCCAGACAAAGGCCACCTTGCGTCGACTTCCTAACTGCTGCAGGACAGACACACACTTCGCCTATCTCCTCCAACTCTCTTCACAGCTCTTGGCCCTCTATCTTTTCTTTTTTCACTGGCTAATTTGTGCAAGCACAACTGAAAACTAAATACACTGAAACAATAAACCCTCATTCGTGGGGTTGAAGGGGAGCAGAAGTTCCTGAGCATCTCAGTTGGGAAGGGCAGACAAACATAAAGTTTGTTTTCTCTTTCTTCAAACTAAACTACTGTCAAGTTAAGTTTTTATTTTTCAACCTTAACATTGTTATGTGTGAAAGAGGTTGAATGTCAGCAAAACCTGCAAAGAAAATATATAAACTGAAATTTGCTGATAGCATAAGAAATTTCTTGTAACCTTCTCCTGATCTTTAATTTTCACTACTTTATTTCTGACTTGTTTGGAAGGTTCCTTGGTTTTCATAGTTGGTTTGTCATTTCACTTGGTAATTTGAGGCTTGAACAGATGTATTTACTCTGAAGTCAAGTTAAACCACTTTGTTTACACACAAACAAAGACCATTACACTAATTTTGTGACCTTTCAAACTGATCTTTTGCCCCTGAACTGATTTAGGGTTTCCATAGCAAAGAGGTTGAACACTTATGCAATTGAGAATATTCTAATTTTCTTTGAAAATCTAACTTACTTACATAATATCAGCGTTTTTTTAGCTTTCTCAGTTTGGAGTAGATTCTAAATATAAAGTACATTTGAAAGTTTCATGATTGCAATCTCAGATGGCAACAAAATGTGGAAACTTTGCAGTGGGTAAATACTTTTGCAAGGCACTGTATAATGCTAATTTTGTGTGTGTTTTGTCCACACCCTTCAGCCATCTGTTCCTTATAAGTTCTACACTTTTTGAACAATCAGCATAAACTTGATACAGTGATACAAGATAATATGAGGATGGCCATGAGGGGGGTTGACCCACATGTAATTTTCGAAAAAAACACCAAATCAGCACAACTTGGCAAAGTGATACAGGACAACTTTTAGCGTTTATTATGTTAAGCAAAAAATAGAAGCACAATTTCCTATCCTTTGTTAAAAATGAGTTTTTATTTTACCCATCCATTGGACAGATATTCCAGCTAATAATAAATGTACTGATTAGTCATGTTCACTGTTTTACTGTGTTAATTGGTGTGAGTGTAAAAAATATATATATATATTCTACTAACTGTACTGTCTAGTCATATTAATCATGTTTTATTGTGTGGTGTGATTATGTAATAATAATAAATAAACTTAGCATTCCAAAAATTGTTTAATTTATATTAAATATTTTCTACTAACTGTAGTGACTACTCATGTTATGAAGTTTTAGTTCATGGGTGTGATCAAATGAAGACATGCTCTACTAACTGTACTGACGAGTCATGTTAATTACTTATTTAATGTGTATAATCAAATAAGAAACATATACTAAAAAGTGTATTGGCTAGTAACATTAATCACAGTTTAAATGTGTTTACTCAAGTAACAAAGATGTTTTACCAGCTGTACTGAGTGGTCATGTTCATCACTATTTTATTTTGTACAATCAAGTACGAAACATATTCTACCAGTTGTACTAACTAAATCATATCAATCAGTTTTACTGTGTGAGTGTAACACAATAACAGGTACTTCTACTGTCTGTACTCATTAGTCACGTTAATCAACTTTTTTACTATGTCAGTGTAATTAATCAACAAACATGTTCTACTAAATGTAATCAAGTAACTAATATGTTCTACTTTAGCACTGTTTTTACTTAGTGCATGTAAATGAGTAACAAACTTGTTATACTAACTTTACATAGACATGTTATTCACTGTTTTACTGAGTATAACCAAGTAACAAATGTTACTATTAACTGTACTCACTAGTTAGTTTAATAACTGTTTTACTGTATGGGTATAATCATGTAACATACAAGTTCCACTAAGTGTACTGACTTGTGATGTTAACCACTGTTTAACTGTGTGTAATCAAGTAAGAACTATGTTATACTAATTGAACTGACCAGTCATGTTCATCACTGTTCTATTTTGTGCAATCAAGCAAGAAACATGTGCTACTAATTGTAATGACTACTCATGTTATTCACTGTTTTACTGTGTGGATGTAACAAAATAAAAATATTCTACTAAATGCACTGACTAGTCATATTTATTATGTAGTGTAATCATGTAACAAACATGTTCTACAAACTATACTGACTAGTGATGTTAATCATTGTTTTAGTGTTTGCAATGGAGTAATAAACATGTTCTACTAATTGTACTAAGCAGTCATGTTAATTACCGTCTTATTGACTGCAATCAAGTCTCAAACATATTCTATTTACTATACTAAATAGTCATTTTTATCAGTTTTACTGTTGGTACTTAAAAAACTTACCTTAAATGTACTTAACTTGTCAGCATATGCACTGTTTTCTTGTGTGTAAATCAAGTAACAAAGATGTTTTAATAACTGCACTAAGCAGTCATGTTAATCACTGTTTTATTGGGTGTAATCTTGTATAAAACATATTCTACTTAAGGTATTGAATAACATGTTAATCAGTTAGTTACTCTGTATAATCAAAAATACCTTAACTGCAATGAATAGTCAGAATATCCACTGAATTACTGTTTGTGTGTAATAAAGTTACAAGTATGTTCTACTACCTATACTAACTAGTGAGGTTAGTTTGGCTATTTTAGTTATTTATGGTCCACCAACCACAGGGAGTTTTGATGAACTTTGTGAACTGCTGCTTTACTGGATAAATCATCAAATAAATATGTCCAACCTTCAACGTAAAACAAAATATTTCAGTTTCATTAATCCTTTGCTAATTTTTTGTCTATAACTGAAATATACTATTTGTCCACTGCAATCTTCACTGTCAAATCTTGCTTGAAGTTTTATTTTCTGATTACAAAATCCCCAAAAATTAATTGATTCACTAATTATTAGGTCTTTTATTGACTTGCTTTGAGAACTATAAAATAATCCCCTGTCATTGACCATTGCAGTAGACTGGTGTAAGCTTCACCCACTGACCAGAAAGTCCTTGGTTGATGCCTCCACAATACACTGTACAGTTGTTGGGGCTGGACTGGTTGTAAACTTCATCAAAGGTGAGAGGCTTAGAGTTTGCTGAGAAGAAACATATCATACAGTTGAATTGAGAATATATTTACTTACATACAGTAAAACAAGTGTTAATAAATCATCTGTAAATCTTATCCAAGTGTAGTAACATTATGTTCAGTTATCATATTCTTTGTATAAAGTTTGATGATATTTGGTCTGTAAGAAACAATTCAAGTACTCTATGACACAGCATGATGATGATTAATATTTAATGTTTTTTTTTAATAATATCAGTACAAATAAACTTATCAATTTAAAGTCCTATCCTGACCATGGTTCATACTTGTTGGTTACATCATATAATGAAAGAAAATATATCCGTAGAAATGAAAACGAGAGTACAATAATTCCTCAATGCTTAGAAAAGAAAATGAATAAAAATGAAAACTTATTAGTGCAATATATTGTTTTCCAACTCCTCTAGTTTTTCTGTTGTGAAAACTACAAAAGAGATACATATAAATGCAAACATCATAATTCTCTGAATTCATTAACTTGCAAAATTCTCTACTTTTTCTCAAATTAAACAAAAAGCAAGCACTTAAGGTTTTTAAGTGTCTTTGAAACAATTTTTGAAGCCTTACAATAGATTCTTATGAATCATTGTATCATTTAAAATTTTGAGATTGATCAAAATTATTAGCTCTTAAAAATAAGAAATTGTATTATTCAAGCTTATTATTTTGATACTACTTATAAAATTTAAATTACTTAACAACTGTATTAGATTCTATTTCATGCACTTGTTAATTGACAAGAGTATTTATATGAAAAAATAGGAAAATATTAAACCACAATTACACACACAGAGCTGTATAGTTAAATTTTTCTTTGCCATAAATGCATCTATGATTAAAATTGTCCTGTTGCTAGGTGTCGCAATTTGTATTAAAAGAAAAAAGGGTACCCCAAGTTAACCCCTCACCCCATCATATTTTGTGTTCTTCTGACAATTCTAAACAACCCCTTAACTTGGTGAAAATTTAATTTTATTTTTACGTGCTGAGTATTTCAATAAAAGCAAAACCACTTTAGTTTCTTATGTCTTCCTTAGGAGTAACTGAAAAATTTTACATGGCTTTACCTTTAAGAAAATTAAGAACCTTTGCTCTCATAATGAATTTAACTTTTGTTTCATTAATTTTTAAAACCCTTGATAAAGCTATAAAATGAAATATTAAGGAAAGCAATTTTATATTTTAAAAGTAGAGATGCCTTTTGTAAAATAATAATTAAAAAAAATATATTATTTTTCACACCTTTTAATGTTTCAAATAATTATTCTACTGAAATATTTCAGGAAATAAGTACATGATTAATAAGCTAATTGTCATCATTTTGGTCCCACTAATTCTTTCAATAAAGAATCTCCAAACACCATTTGCTAAAAATTATTTATAGAAGATTATCATATGTTTAACCATAATGAAGAAACTTCACTCTTAAACTACCTACTTAATATCCTCCTTTGCATTATCTAATTCTGATGCTAGTTAGATAAAGATACAGGGTGACATTGTTCAATAAATGATCTTTGAAAATCATTTAATAGAAATAATCAGTAAAACTTACTATCCCTTCAAGAAATATTTCCTCATTAAGACATATTTACACATAAACATTCCACAAAATCCCCTGAAGAACAACAAACCCTAAATAAATGTTTGAAAAAAAAGAAGAAATTAATGTCACATGATTCTTTTTAAATATATTTGTGTAAAAACATCCACACACATACTTTACTCATAGCGTCTCAAACATAAAAGAAAAAAGTATGACAGTTTATAATATTAAACCTTTGAACTTTTGCCAGGAAGGGAAAAGGTGCAAAACGTTTGCTAAAATAAGACTTATAGAGTGGTGGTAGGAATACACCAGTAGCTTCTTTTATGTAATGAGCAAATTGATTGTTATAATACATACTTAAACTGAGAGATAAGTTCTTATAACTTTTTAATTTTAAGAAAGATTGATTTTGTTCATTCTATTAACACTTTATTTACAACAATATATTATACAACATGCTTGATTATATTTTGATTAACATTTTGTAGTACTAATAAGTATGACAACAATGGTTATCATACCCTTATTAAACAAAAAAAAGGTAAAAATTGTCAATGTTCCTACCGGCAAGATAATGCCTACCCTCATTTGGCCTGTTATTAGCAGGTTTTCGGGTAGCCCAGTTTGTCCTGATAGCTCTTGTCCCCAGCCATTGCCCATTCATCTGAGTTATTGCATTTTCTGCATCCTAAACGGTTATTACAAGAATGCAAGCTTTTATAAAAAAAAAAAAACTATTGGCAAAAACAATGTTTTGTCCTATATGTACAATATTTACACATCACCAAACAAAAGAAACTATGATAATGTGCAATGTTTATATCATTTACAGCATCAATAAGGCAACCTTTTTTTTTTAGAAATTTTCACCACTATCCCAGCATACATCACAAAATAATAATACATCATACAGATGTGCAAAATTTTTCTACATCAAACAGTGATACACAATATTAATTTGATATCTCTGAGTAAAAAATGTCTTTAATATTTGCTACATTCTAGAACAGTTCTCACTTCAGACAGAAACTTGTAAAATTTCATCCCTTTACAGTTAAAAACAATACACTATAAATCATCATTTTTAAAATCTTAGCACTTCATTTATACCTATTGGTGTTTGCAGCATCAAACTTGATGTGATAAAATTTAAAATAGCAACATAGTTATATTTTATAATTTTAAATTAGTAAACTTACACTTATAAAGTATATTTTTATATTTTATAATTTTAAATTAGTACACTTACATTTATTAAGTATATTTTATAATTTTACATTTTAAATTAGTACACTTACATTTATTAAGTATATTTTTATATTTTATAATTTTAAATTAGTACACCTACATTTATTAAGTATATTTTTACTTAATTTCCCATTGCAACACCTAATTGTCAACTGCAGTTGAAACAATGGATTGTTTAAACAAATATACATCTTGTGAGTTACTCATAATTATTGGTTAAATGTTGAATATGAATACGATAAACTTATTGTATTCTCATGCAGAAGAGATAACAGTAACAAAAGTAAACATATCAGAGCCGTTGAAAACACATTAAGTTTTTTTTCCATTTATTCATTAGAAATCACATACTGATGGTTGGTAAATACTAGTTCACGCTTTCTCAACATTTCAATTGTATACTAGAGAAAAAGATGGCGCTACCGTTATGTGCTGTTAATACTTACCGCTTTCTTCACAAATGACACAAACCCGTAACCTTTTGACTTCAGTGTTTGAGGATCTCTAACCACACGACAATCTCTAAATCAACAAAGAACGAAAACTTTTTAAATTAAAGAAGTCTAAAGTGGTGGAAGAATGCCATGAAGAAAAAAAACAAAAAACCTACTACTCATACCTACTGGTCTGCTATTCAGTGAAAGATTTAGTCACAATTTTTAAAATCCACTAAGAAGTACTTGAAAGATGACACTATATTAGAGCAGTCTAGTTCTAGTTTTGAATTGATAGCATCCTTGCTGGAGTATGATGTAGAATGTGATGTAATAACTAGCATGAAATATGGTTAAGACCGAAAGAAATATATATCTATAACTGTGGATAAAAAGTCAATAAAACGCAACATTGCATGAAGTATCGAGCAGGTCTAGGTATGTTAAGCCTATCTGTACTTGCGAATGCAGTATTACAATTCCGTGGCTTACAAATTTTAGACTTGAATGAACTCTTTCCAGAGTAACATACGGCCACCATTGTTGATATAAATTCACACACACACATAGCTGGGCTGGGATATTTGTGACGTAAACATATTACAGGTGAGGTAGGGGAGAAATGCCATTAGAAATGATAAGCAGAAGAAGACACCCACAAACTTAGTTAAATGTCTCAAACGCAGGGAGGGGCAGTCGCAAATAAGCTATTCTTATGTTTGTTTGTTTGTTGTTAGCCGCAAAGCTACACAATGGACTATATGTGCTCTGTCTATCGCACGTATTAAAACCCAATTTTTTATTTATATACTCTCATATTTTCCGCTGAGCCACCGTGGGGGTAAAGATATTCTTAACTTAGCATCTCATAAGTATTATATAAGCCGCTAGACTTATTGCTTTCGAACAATTTTTTAAAAATTAATAACAAGACATAAAGGCTCAGTTTTAATCGGAGTGAACAGTTACTTATAAATCATTAAATTATAAGTCATGTCAGTGACATGAAGATCATAGAATTGAATAATTAAAGGACAGCTGTACTGACGAAAAGAAAAACATTTTGTTCATTTGATTTTAGTTTTAAGTGGCATTATTACAAAATCATTTTAACACAGAACATTTGATGAGAATTTGGGTTATATTGAATAAGTTTTAAAAGTGAGACCAAAATTCAAATGTTATTATAATAATGCTAGTCATGTAAGGATGGTTATGGATTACCTTGAAATGTATTTTACTATAATACAGGCTGTCTTTTGTTAGGTTATTTACGTTACCAAAAGATTTGTATAAGCTTTAATAACTCAATATATATATAACATGGTATAAACTGTGCAATGGTCAGGGTGACTTTGTAGGAAGAGGTAGCGGACACATAGTGGCGGCAGGAGTGCCTTCTATTATCTTCTTTTACCACCCACTTCTTAATGTCCTTCCACAGTATTTCAAGTAATTAATCAATTGACCGTCATTGGCTGCAGGAGTGTCTTATGGGCCGAAGTTGAAAGGCCACAGGTCAATTTAGGAAGTGGGTGTGACTCAAGAAACGCCTTTTCATACCAACTTTACGGTGCAGTGGTAGCCATTTATTTCATTGTATTCCTTCGTAGAGAGTGCTAGCGCGCTCTGACAACATGTCCCTTGTTCCAAACTATCACCCCACAGCTAGGAGTAGTTAGATAACTATTTTTATGCTTCATACATATAGAAGATTACATACAAAGATAAATATCAATAGCATCTGAAACGTCATACCTTAATAAGTTGCCAATTTTTACCTTCTTATGATAATTTCTCACTGTGCTCAATTATAACTAAAAATTGGTCACAGCTACACCAGGAGTGTTACCAGTAATCAATGTTTCACATTCAATGTTAATTCTAAAATCTCTCCATATATTATGGTGCTAACCAGAGAAAACAATGGAGGTATAGAATTTGAACAAATTCTAAAGCCAGCGTGTCTGAACAAACAAAAAATGAGTAACGAGACACTCAATTATGGCAGCCGTCATACATAGCATCTTCCTAGTATTGTAACTGGAATTTAACCACATTATATTCATAATACATTCTTCACTAGGTGACTTATCAGTTCAACACACGAAAAAAACATAGGCCCCGAGTGTTGGGGAAGAGGTTGACATATGGATGTCAGATACAAACGGCGACTCAACATGTCACTCCCTGTGGGGCCGAAAGTGTACACGGACCTATGTTTGGTGACAATTGATCCAGTGCTTCACCAGTTAAAAGTGGGCACAAGCACAGATTTTATTCAAAAACGAATGTAATTTATGCTTCGAAATAAGAATAAATACTTTAAAGATGAAGATGGGAGGGATAGTGGTAACAAAGTTAGCTCTTTGTATTCATGGCAAAGATACATAGGCTATCTTCCATCATCCCTAGTTTTGGACTACAGCACCCATCACTTACGCGAAGGGATTAACTATCACTCTTATCGCACCCACAGTAAGGGGAATATCGCACGGATTCGAACCAGGTTTGCTAGTTCCAAAATGCAGAGCTCCGCCACATGGCAGATCAACATGAAATATTGTTTCTTTTATTCACATTTCACCTTACACAACATCAAAAGTATTGATGAATTTCGCACAAAGCTACACAAGGGCTATCTGCGCTAGCCGTCCCTAATTTAGCAGTGCAAG